TAGATAAGCTAGAAGTAGAAGAAACGAGGGTAGAGTTCCAAGCAGAGATGGCTATAAACGACAAGAAACTCTCGGAGTTGATGGAGGCAATGGGTACACCGAAGGATGCCGAAGGCCGGGACCAGGCCGGGTCTAGAATCATAGAAGGGTGGGAAGAGCTGGTAAACACAACAGCAAGCAGAGTTCTAGGTAGAAAGTTGATAGTTTGTAAGAGAGCAGTGAAGTGGTGGGACGAAGAAATCAAGCAAGCAATTCGAGTACGTAGAGAGTCACACGCAAAATATGCGGCAGGGAAAACAGATGCAGGATGGAAGGAGTATGTTGAAAGTAAAAAGAGGGTGAAGGAGTTGGTCGTGAAGAAGAAGAAAGGGTTGTGGGAGGAAGTAGTCCAAAAGACTAACGAAGATTTTGAGGGGGGGATGAAGCAAATGTGGGTAGGAATTCAAGGGATAGTGGGCAACAAAAGAGGGGGAGACACGGAAATAACGACACTAAGATCTGCCGAGGGTAAGATGGTAAGCAGTTCTAAAGGAAAGAGGGAAGTACTAGTAGAGCACTACCGCAAACTTGGGACACCCACCACCAACGACAACTTCGACTCGGAGTTTGAGAAGGAAATCAACTCGTGGGCAGAGGAAAACGTTGAAAGATCTCAGAGGGAACGTAGTGATGTAGACGGGTTGCAGGGAGAGTTCACACGAGAAGAGGTAGAGGACTGCGTAGCGAAACTCAAGAATAGAAAAGCGGCAGGGGCTGATGGAATTGTGAACGAGCTTTTGAAACAGGGGGGGGAGGGGATGATTAACATGTTGGTCCGGATATTCAACTGGATATGGAAGCACGAGTACGCGCCGAAGAGATGGAGAGAAGGAGTAGTCGTGAACCTGTTCAAAAAGGGGGATAAAGCTGACCCGGGGAATTATAGAGGGATAACCCTGTTGAGCACAGTGGGGAAACTGTTTGGCAAGATGATAGACAATAGAATGGGAGACATGTTGGAGGGGAAACAAAAGATCAGCGAAGGACAAGCTGGATTTAGACCAGATCGTAGTTGTGTAGACCATGTATATACGTTGAGTAAAATCATCCAAGGTAGGAAAGACGCCGGGCGTACGACATACTGTTTCTTCCTCGATATACAAAAAGCCTACGACACCGTATGGCGCAATGGATTGTGGAAAAAGATGTGGGACATCGGCATCCGGGGGAAAATGTGGAGGATGTTGAAAAAGATGACAGAATGCACAAGAAGTGCGGTGATGTTGGATGGGGAAATTTCGAAGTACGTGGATATACTCCAAGGAGTCGCACAGGGCTGTACGATGTCACCCACTCTCTTTAAGATTTACATCAACGATTTGATAAGGGCGGTTGAAGCAGTAAGACAGGGAGTCCAAGTAGAGGGAAAGAGTGTGTCCGGACTGATGTTTGCAGATGATTTCGTGGGGGTATCCGAAACACCAGAAGGGTTGCAAGAACAAATAGATGCGGCGGTAGGATACACCCGAAAATGGAGACTGTCGGCGAACGTAGGAAAATGCGCAGTAGTGGTCTGTAACGAAGATAAGAAAAATCCCGTAGAATTCAAATGGAAATGGGGGGAGGAAGAACTACCGGTAGTAGACAAGTATACGTACCTGGGAGTAGAGATTTCGAAGGAGTGCTCATGGGACGCACACATAGCGAAGTTGATTGGGAAGGGTAAAGCTCAGATAGGCAAGATGGATGAGATCCTTACGGACCCACACCTAGACACTAGGATTAAGAGGTGTATTCTCTTGAAGGTGATTGTACCTAAGCTAGAGTATGCAGGAGAGATATGGGAAGGTAACGAAAAGGCCGTCAAGCAGCTGGAAACGGTGCAGATGGCAGCGGCCAAGAAAATACTAGGATGTTCAAGCACAACGAGCAACACTGTATTGAGAGCAGAATTGGGAATGTACTCTCTTAAAACAAAGAGAGACATGCAGAAGTTGAAGTGGCAGTACAAGGTAAGTAGAATGTCGGACGATAGACTACCAGCCATGGTTGACGAGGCAGCTTGGGGAAAAGCGACTCCAGGGAAGAAGGGAATCAGATGGGACAAGGTGGTAGAGAAGGTTTGGAAGGAGATAGGAGACGAGGAGGAGACGTTGGACACGGAAGGGTTCGGGGGGTTCAAGACGAAAGTCAAGGAGATGCTAGAGAGTAGGGAGGAGACAACCCTTCGGAAGAAGGTACGAAGCGAAGACCACTTGGAGATATACGGGAAGTTGAAAGAAGGGATAGGGATGAAGAAGTACTTGGACGGCCCCATGGGACTATGCGAAAAAGCTGAAATTGCAATTTCGAGTAGGCGATCTGGACTTGCCAGAACGGAGGAAGAGGTATACCAGCCGTAGGAGAGAGGAAGAGGAGGATAGACACACATGTCCATGTGGCAAATCGGAGGAGAGTAGACCCCACATAGTTGGGGAGTGTGAGTTGTACAGGAAGGAAAGAGAGGATCTCGAGGAGGAAATGAGACAGAGAGGGTGTGACATGGACAAGTTTGGTAAATTAGACAACAGCGAAAAAACGATCGCGATAATTGGGGATAGATGGTGGGCACAAGAGGCCCTAGAGGACGGGGATAAGATGTGCAAGAAATTTTTATGGAGTTTGTGGCAGAAACGTGAAGAGCTCCCAAATGTTGGTGGTGTCTCTAGTAGGTGTAGGAACGGTGCTCCGTCTCGAAAGGGACGCGTGGTCAATGGTCAAATGACTACGGCAAGCAACAAATGAGTACGCCCCCCCCCCCACACACCGGAAGATTGCTCTTGCCAGATCTCTTCACGACAGGCAAGCCCTCCATCAATCGTTACACTAAATCTCAGCGGGTTAGAAAACTCACCGAGAACAAGGCTTTCTAGAAAAAAACCCCGACGTACATAGTAACAAGGCCAACAGACAAACGATATGTCACCGCTCACGTCCTCCATGCGTTTTCGTCGTATCCCTCCCGCCCCGCGCCCTCATCTCAAAGCCCGGCCGCGCTTGACAACTACAGAGGCGACCGCGAGAACCGCCGCCCCGGCAACCGCCGCCACGCCCAAGAAAGCCAGAGACCGCCGTCTTCGTCTCTGGCGCCGCAGGACCCCACTCCTCGAAAGCCAAGTTTCTTTCACCTAGAGGTAGCGGTTGTCCCGAGCAAACAGGTAGACGCTGTAAAGGATCGCGTCTGGTATGAGGGGCATATCGTCGAGAGATGCTGTGTGTGCTAAGGAGGCGACTTAGGAAGCGCGCGACTGCTACGGCTGCGGAGGAAGATGCTATCACGGCAGGCACTGAGCTTGATGCAGAAACGGGGTGCGGTGTCGAGGGCGGCAGGCACGGTGCGAACAGCCAACGTGTCTTCGCGGCGTACAACATGATAATTCCAGGTTGGCGTAGAGAAGGGGGAGGGGGGGCGTTGAGGAGAGGCGAACGGCGCTGGAAATCACGCGAGAGAGCTAGAATACAACCATAAAGTTGGGTGTTGAGCCTAGCACCTATGGTACAAAAGTACACAGCGCTTTTAGCATCACAGACCCAGGAAGTACTTGGCGTGATTGAGGCGTTTTGCTCGAGACCAGCCACCAACCAAATCGGATATCATGTGGTCGTAGAAGAAATGAAACAGCCGTTGCTCTGGACGCGCAGCAGTACTAGCTCGCCTCTTGGTAAAAAACGCGGAATCCACACGTGTTCCTCAGCCGCTGTAGCTATTTCGATCGAGTCTGAACAGGGATACTGACGTGTGTCTTTGCTAAAGATGGCACTAGCCCATCCATGCGAAACAAAAATAATACCGCACAACGGTCTCCCCCCATTCCATGCCCCTCCGACCCCTCCCCCGTTAAGAGCGTGGCAGACTAACACGGCAGCACTGGCAAAATCTAGTCGAAACCTGCCTTCGCCACCAAGTCCTCCTCCGTGCCCTCGTTGGAGAGCACCACTGTCGCACGGGCCGCTCTCTCTTGGTTGGTCATGGGTTGCGAGGCTATCCTCTTGTCGGCCTCCGCCTCGTCGAACCCGTTGCGTTTCATCAATCGCGCCCTGAAAGCGTGCGTGCGTTTTTTTTTTCACGGCAAACATCGAGCAGGCATGATTTTCGCCTACGTCACGAGGCGGTTGCAATGAACGGCGCTTTGTAGACCATGAGAGAGGTTTGTGGGGGGGAAGAACGCAGAGCATAACCCGGTCTCCGTAAAGATTAGAGACTCGTACATCCGCGATCTGCCGCTTGTTAGTTCAAGACACCACACGACGAATGCTTCGAGACACAAATTCTTGTGTGCCTGACCTCCTTGTCCGTCGAGGCTACTTGGACTCCTCCTTCATTTTTCACCAGTCGCGCGCCCTGTGCACCATTGGAAACTAAGTACTGCTGTAGCACAGGAAGACAGCGCGATTGCTCTTACCCCCTGCCGATAACCGCCGCTAGACCGACGAAGCCAGAGCCGAGACATAAAAACACCAACACACCCCGCCTGTCGAGCAGCAACCCCAAACATACCCAACAAAAAACCACAACAAACACCGTACCACATCCATGAAAAACACATACCGCGCCACTGCCGGGGGCACCTGGACGACCCACAGCTCGTCACAGAGGTCGTCCCACCCGGCCTCTAGAAGCACGGCGGCCTCGAGAACCACCGACTCGGCGCCCTCCCTGCCCAGTCCCTCGATCCTCGCCTCCGCCAGGAGGCGAATCTCCGGCCAAACGATGCCTTGCAGCCTGGCCATGTTGGAAGGGTTTCCGAACACCTGATGCGTGCGGACCAACAAAATGTATGTGACACCGGGGGGCTGGCAAAGGAAGAAGTAGACATTGAAGACCACCCGTCGTCGTGATCGTCGTCCATGCAATGTGGGTGGGCAGATTGCTCAACACCCTGTCAACTGTCTACGTACAATGGCAGTATAATGGTGTTTGTAGAGGGTGTGCGCCGGGTCGGGTGGACAAAGGATCGATTGCAAAGGCGTGCAAGGTCTTGCGCTGCAAGGGTAGTACCGCAGCACGCCGGAACAAAGAACACTCCCAAAGCACACGACCTACACCTTACCGCCTGTCCAAGCGCACGGCGGTCGATTGTGCCATCCCCGGCCACGATATTTTCCCCGAACGCGTCCACCAGCTTGCCGAAGCATCGGGTGCCTGGCTGGTAGCTCTCGTGCCCCAGCTTGTCGGCGTCGATCACCTCCAGCCCGCACGCCGTGCCCAGGGCCTTCGAAACGGTGCTCTTGCCAGATGCAATGCCGCCGATCAGACCGACCACCGATGGACGACGGCTGTTGCAACACCGATGAGATACGGTACATGCGAAGAAGTGAAAGCCGTCGAACAAACGTTACAAAAAAGGAGAGATGCCATCAGAGAACGCTGACAGCACCACCCTCGAGCGTTTCATGCGTACATACTCTTTAAGATTGCGTCAGATACAACACCCCCTTGGGCCGATTCTTAAAGCTCGGTTACTCCACGGCGAATAGGAAGCCAAAATAAAATGAATCCTTGTCGGATTCTCTCGACGAGACGGTTCCAACGTCGCCATTTTCGGCAAAGTCATTGTGTTTGCTGCAGAGCTGCTGCGGGAGGCGGTAATCGTGTTTTGAAAACCGGTGTAGGGGTTGTGGTATCTCACGCAACCGGGCAAGTCTTGCATCTCAACTGACGAGTTGCGATACGGGGCGACACAGGAGAGGGTCCCCACGGTGCGTGCCTTAGTTGCTAACGCGAGCGTGGCTCAGCGGTTGCTTCGCTAAAGTGCACTCATGAACAAGCGCTTCTAATGTTGCATGCAGCCGTCACTCGTACAAGACCATTATGCAGTACCTACAAGTACAGACGACACCGGTACTACAGAAGGACTCTGCTTGGTACACCTTCGGGTACGGGCGCTGTCGTCACATTTTGAAGTGTACTGCCCCATCATGTTTTGGAGAGTATGCAATGAAATTCGAGCTCCAGACCTAGCCGCCAGAGGCTTGCTACCGATCGTTTTCCCGGACGTAGGAGGTATCAAGAGGGTCCTGTATGCGATTGATGGTCGAATGTCGTCAATTGTACACACGGGGAACAAGATTGGCGCCGCAAAATGAGAAGGAGGGGTGGACACCTACCGCGTGAAAGAGAACGACGCTAGCAGTCCTCCTCCGTTGAGAGTCATGCTCGCAGGTGGCGGGGTATAACCCCTGACAGGACTGAACGCTAGAAGGATCAGAGCAGCAGCCAGGTGATGAACCAAGTGGAGGGCAAGGGCAGTCTGCATATTGTGTGAGGGATGGGTGCTGGATGCTGGATGCAAACCAAACCAGGAAAATTCGAAAATCTCCACAGTCCCGTCGGCTCGGACAATTTGCCAACACCCAGAACCATCACACCAACCACGCGACCAGCTTGCACCAGCCCTTTTTCTCTCTCGCTGGGGTTCCCTGGCGCTCCTCCGTCGTATTCTTGTCGTAGAGCCCTGCATGAGCCACGTTCCGCATGAGAACATCACGGGGGCGGAAGGTAAGCAGGTGTTTGGTAAAGCAGTGCGCAAAACAGCAGTGGCGGAACATTTTATTATTCCTTAATTCTTTGTGTGGTTGCGCATTTTCATGGGTCCCTCGACCGTTTTGTCCCGATGCTTTTCAGTACGTCCATAGAAACAAACGAGGTTCCCAGCCCCAGGCCATCACGCGTGAGTCCTGGTGCTTGCCTGCCAGGCAATCGTGCTGGGCGAGAGAAACGCAAACCCGATCACGCAGACTAGTACCGGTATGTATTTTTAAATATTCCCGTTGCAGCATCGTCAAGAGTTCACCCACCAAAGAGGACTTTTTTACTTTTTTCTGTGCAGATGATTAGCATGGTTCTAACAGGCGGAAACAATCCCCTAACGCGTTGCATTGCGTTTGTGCGTGCGTCTGTGCACCAAACGCGCAGCACCCTCGAATAAAGCAGAACAAAAAAAACTGATGACATTTGGTTCCTGCGTGTCCCCACAGGGCGTCTCTCTGTGCTGCTCTGTACCCGCTCTTGGCAGTGGAGGGAATAGGTCACACACTTACACACCGGTCTATCTATTTTTCTATCAGATAGATGGGGGGGAAAGTACCTACATCATTGTCTACAGGTGCTGTGTTACCCTTTCCGAAACGAACGCTGCATTTATGGGCTTGTAAAAATCGAAGGCAAAGTACCGCAGGAGGGGAGGGTAGAAAGGGGCTCTTCTGTGTGACCCCGGGTTGGAGTAAACGGCACTACTACTTCGATAAGCATCAAGATAGACAAGGTTATTGTTGTTGTTGTTGTCTTCACATTAAAAACCGTTCCGTTCTCTCTGCCCAGTACCTTCTTCTGTCCGTACTAGTCTTAACACTTGACGGGGTCGATTCCCGTGGTCACAGGTGAAGAGGAAAAACATTCCTGTGTGGCCTCCTCGCGCGAGATCCCGACTGATTTTCAGATATGCAACCTGGTGTACCCACATCCTTCATTGTAAAGACTTGAACACATTTCACATTTCCGTTTTTCTCGACCGAGTGTAGTCTTTCTCGGTCTCGTCCTCAACTACCCGTTTCAAGCTGCTTGCCAGTGGCGGGAACTGGATGATTCGAAGAAGCTGGTCAGCTCCCGCGCCAATTCCTAGCGCCATGGATTCAACCCCGATGCATACACGGGTTCAAGAGTGGTATACACAAAGATAAACGAAACGTGTGGTATGTGCCGTTAAGGTTATAATAGTATTTTGGCCCACAACAGCGCAAGAACCACTTCAAAATATTCGTCGTTTCATTTTTTTGCTGGGTGCGTCCTCACAAAAAGCGGCAGCAGTGCATGGCGACCTTGATGAGAGCATCCATCAAGCACGCACTGCGCTTACGTACGTTTGGAACACCTCTGCTTTTTCTCTTGGCCTTCCTCTGAAACTGCCATTCGCGCTGCCGGCAGGCTTGCGTCAGAGCAAAGCGGGAGGGTAGGTGCGTTGGGCGTAGCCGGACAGGCGCTTAGAGGAGTTGGTAGAGATGGTGTCGGTGTCGCGGCCCGGCACCGCCGTGTTCTACTTGGCGGCGGTGACGGTGGGGACAGCGGCGAACCAGGGCGGCCCAGAGTTGAATTTTCGTCAACATGAGCACCAGCCGCCAGCCTCGCCGATGCTGCCCCCCTTCCTCGAGGGTCAACCGGAGCGTTGGCAGGTTCGTCCAGAAAGAACTGCTCACGGTATTGTTGTAGATCCGTGGAGTTAGCATACTGATGCCGTTCCAGAACCCCGCGGAGACAGTAGTCGCAGAAGTGCCTCGAGAGCAACGCAAGTTTAACCTTTGATGCAAAACCTCCGGGCAGCGCAGTCCCGTGTGGTCGGCGTATACGCGTGTCCATCGCCTTACGTGTTGCCCGCGTCGGTATGCGTGAGGGGGGTTGATTTGTTTGAAACCGGCGCGCTGTAAAGTCTACTCTTCGGCCCTTCGCAGTGGCGTGGCTTTCGGTCTACCCCTCTTTCGTTCTCATCCCGCCGATCGTGCCGCGTCGCGATAACCAGGCACGCTTCTACGGCCCAGACGTACGCGTGGCGCCTCACACCGCTGCCGGGCCGGGGCTCCGCTCGGCGTCCACCGGGGTCCCGGCGTCCTTCACCATCCGATTGGCCGGCGTCGACGCCAGTGGGGCTCGGCCGGAGCAGCAGGGGGAGAAGAACCCCGACTGGGATTACAACGTGGACAAAAAGCGGTTCATTTACGTCTGGGTGGCGAGCGAGGACAACGTTTTCGTCGCCGGGGTGCGGAACAACGGCAACGGGACTCTCACCGCCGCCTACGAGAGTTCCTTCCCGGGGGACTACCTCGTCCACGTCGAAGACGTTAACCTGAAGGTCCAAGACCACTTTGGGCGGGGCAGGCCGATCATCGGAAGCCCGTTCTCCCTGACCGTTTCGGGAGACCCTGCGGTGGACGTGGACGCCCTCCCGGTCTGCGGCGGAGAAGGCGAGGAGGAAGACTTGGCTTCGTCCTACTGGCGCACGGGCTCGTGGGTCTCTTCGAACATCGCGGCCCGGAACCACGGCGTCCTGCGGGACGGGTGGGTGTTCCAGCCCAAGACGTGCGTCTACGAGGCGTTCTCCTACGACGACCTCATGCTCCTGGCCGGCCTGGACGAGCCCGCGTGGCTTCTCGCCCTGGGGAACTCCATCCTGCGAGGCATCTTCCTGACGATCTTGGACATGGCTCTCGCCCAGGGACAGAAAGACGAGTTTTCCACCAGCGTCGTGAAGAAGTGTTGGGGGTTCATCGACATCCGTATCGGCAACCTCCGGATTAGCTACCAGGTGGTTTTTCCGCGGGACGTTTTTTCTTGGCATCTTTGTGGGTGATTTTCCACCAAAACCCTTGTCCTCTCTTTCCTGCTGCGTCTTCACTCGCGATGCACTCTGCGAGTGATCGCGGTGTTTTTCGCTCCATGGCCCTGACTAAGTGAGAAGTAAATAAAAAACGATTGGCCAGCGGTGATGGGTCCTGTGGGAACAATGCCCGGTCCTCTCGAGGACGCGTGG